ATAATAATAATAATAATAATAATAATAATAATAATAATAATAATAATAATAATAATAATAATAATAATAAAAACCACACCATCGAATAACAGTGTCTGCCTATCTTGGGGATGGGACTCAATAGGTGGATAAAAATGCCAAATCTAGTCTAAACCTCTGGCTGGCTATGCAACAGACCATAATAATAATAGTAATAATAATCTGGTCTGTTTCTTACAGGAAACACATGTTGTAATATATTTTTATAAAAGATGTGAGACTCGATCTCAGTCATTCAGTAGCAGAAACAGCCATTTGCCCTCAGGTGGGGGAAGGAAGTCTCATCTGAGTTACTTTCGTTTTCCAGGCATTGCTTATCCTAAAATTAAAGAAAGTAATGAAAATTGGATACTCCCAAGCTTCGTTCTTTTTGCCTAGCCTATTTGAGAAGCTCAGGGCCATCCTTTTTTATTCCATTTGTAGATCCTCCCTTTGTCACTACAGTCATCTTGCTCTAATGGCAGGGATCTTTACAAGTTTGATGGGCAAACACAGACAAACGTTTTATTAACTAATTGCAATGTTTTATTAAGCAATTTCCACAACACGCAGAGTAAGCAACTGGGGACCCTTTAGCAAAAACTGGTCCCCAGGAATTCAAGTAGTAGAAGCAGGCAGGAGAATGAACTCTTTTCTCCCTTTCTTAAAAGTCTCACAAGATATGAGGGAAGTTCTTTTCTCTTGGCAAGTTGTTTAGGGCTGAGGAGCTTCGAAATGTTTACCTGGAAACCTCAGTGGAAATAGACTTACATGTCTTCTCTTCCCTCCCCCCACCCTTTTCAAACTTTTAATCTTTTCTTCTGGTCTCTTTCACTGAGGAACAGTCCCAGGCTGCAGAAGATGCTAGTAAATGTCCTTTCTCTTCATGAGGAACTGGTGGAGTTCAGTTGAAATGAAATTTCACCTGAAGATTCCCTTGAATTTGGTCATTGCAAAGGAAAATCTGCAGGGGTGGATAGCAGGCTATGCTATGTCTAAATTCTTTTTACTGAGAATAAAGGTAAAGGTTCCCCTCGCCCATATGTGCTAGTCATTCCCAACTCTAGGGGGCAGTGCTCATCTCTGTCTCAAAGCTGAAGAGCCAGCGCTGNTGAGTGCCCCTCTGACCTCTGTTTTTATTGGCAGAGGGTTGCAGGAAGCCATTGCAGCTGAAAACAGAGCTTGGGAGCCCATTTTTGCTGGCAGACCACTCGGGCCATCACAGGCGCCCCGACACATATGATATTGAGCTCGCCATGCCCACCCTGGCGCCCTGAGGTGAAACACAACCCTGATGCAGCCCTCAGTGAGTTTGAAACCCTTGATCTAGATACGCAGCGGGGCAGAACACTGTAAGTATAAATAGATAGATAGAACATTTCCATTTTCTGTAAAGGCTAAACATATTTTTTTTTCTTTTTAAAATGATATCCATAAGAACTCAGAAAGTTCCTTTATGGTACTGAAGAGTTTTCAGCTTCAGACTTTTAGTAGAAACTTACCATTTTAATGAAACACACATGAATCCTAATAAGCACTTTTCTCCAATGCTCATTCTCTATGATTGATCCCAGCTCTTTGGCACTAGTTTATAATTTTGTCCTTGGCTTTTTCCTTCTCTTAAAACAAGTTATAGTTATCCCAACCAATCATTGATTATACGGCAGGTGCGACATTAGGGATAGGCAGTCATTCTGGTTTAACTGAATGAATATGAACTTATGAGCAACAATTGAAATGATTTTTATAATGGTCAAGGCTAGACAGATTTATGAAAAACAAAATAACCAGTGGCTATTGCCTATGATGGGACTATGCTATTGGTAGGATCAGAGGCAACAAAACTTTGTATATGACTAAGTAAGGTCTAGTCCAGTTAGAGAGCCCTTTTTCAAATCTCATGATGTCTCTGCAGTACAATGAAAATGAACAAATCACCATTCTTTGCAGAGTACTGGAACAAGATATCTTCATAGGAGCGGGAGATCCTTTGGTATCGCTGGAAATATTTGCAAACACATTATTTTGAATTCTGGTTCAGTTCTTACATACACATACATTCAGATGTACGTTCTAGACCAGGGCTGTCAAACATGCAGCCTGTGAGCCGGATGTGTCACGTGCTGGCCACGCCCATACCTGGTGTAGTGGAGGGGGGGAAAGTCTCAATACGTCATGTGACGCTGCTGTGACACCGCGAGTTTGACAGCCCAGTTCTAGACATATTGTATATTCTAATGATACCTTGCTGGGCTCAAAACGTTACGTTGGAAAGTATAGACAGCCCTTGACTTACAACTACAATTGAGTCCAAGATTTCTGTTAAGGGAGACATTTGTTAAGTGAGTTTTGCCTCATTTTACAACATTTGTGCTCACAGTTATTTAGCGAATCACTGCAGTTGTTAAGTTAATAACACAATTATTGAG